CACGCAAACGACTGAATATTCCTGACTACCAAACGGCCATGCTTAGGAAATGTTAATGGTAAGTAAGTTCAGATTACAAACATACAAGAAATTATTGTGAACAACAGTTTATGTGAGTCAATCAGTTTCAATGACTACGGATACTTTTGGGTGGCAAAGGCAGTCGCGCTAGACAGTATCTCCAACGGTCCCGATCCTATTACTGCGTTTGAGCTTAAACAAAACATGATCTGAGTTTGGAGCAGTGTCCTTCCATAAACTTGCCCATGGTTATTCTTCGCCGCCCAAGAGTCTTAGGTCGGTCGGCTGGCAAAGTATATACAGTGTATAATTTCATCCAAAAAGATGACGATGAAGCCTTGTAGAAGAACAGGACATAAGAAATTTAAATTAATGTTATTCATTAATAATTATCAAACGAGAGTCAAAACACAGAACAAATATATTAGTTTAAATACTTGTGCCTAAATTCAGTGAACCACTAATAAACTTTATTAAATGTTACTGAGTAGTTTGAAACAGTCCGTTCGCCTTGATGATACACAACAAGTTGGCATCAAAATAAAAACCTACACCTTACTGTCAGTCCCTCGGAGCATACGAAAAGACGCCAGGAGTCCACTTTCAGGGCAAGTGAACTGTGGAAACGTGATGCCGTGAACGCTGCCCAAAAAACTAACGATTAATAAACAGTCGATTACTGTCTAAGCGAAATAACCTCCTCTGAACGGAAACATCATCTTTTACTCGGTGAATTCAAAGGAAAGTGTCCCAAATAGTCCCATCTTCAACCTATACAACAGAAAAAAGCGAGTCCGCTATTTGCATAATTTATTGAGTACTTATTATTGTAACAGTCATCGCCACAACTGCCGTCCTCAAACAAAAACAAATCTTCGAGATGCTGAGGAGGAGGAGGTCACTGATCGAGTAGAGAACGCATGGAGGGCTGCTAGACTACTAGATGAATCGCAGAAGCTCACTTTTCTTGTTCCTAAGTTGAGTGTTTGAGTCTGAGTAAAAGAATGAATGAAAGTTTACTGTTTGAACAGAATCGCCAAAGAATTCCATTGACATTGATAATCATATGCTGCGTTGATGCCTGAATGATGACGATGATCGTTGTTCATTTGAGAGAAATGTTCAACAAAGTCGTTTCCTTTACGTAGTCGCTGGCAACCACGAAATTGAACAACCTCAGTGAATCAGACAGTTTCAATGACCGCTCATACCCTGGAGGCAGACTGTGTTTTCAACGTTCCCGATCCTATATCAGCGTCTGGGCTTTGACAGAAGAAAATCCAAATGTGGATCAGAGACCGTCAAGGAACTTCCCTCATGTCTTAGTTTCATACCAGTATGCCCCTTGGGCTACGTGTTGAAAGATTTGGCCAAATTTCATATATTCAAGCTGTAAAATACACTCATGCATTCATTAAGGTCATTCTTGGCCGTCCGTGGGGTCTTCCGTTGGACGGTTGAGCAATGAGTAGCTGTTTCGCTTTCTTTCCTAGAAGCATTCGCGAAAAGTGCCCACACAATCGTTTCTGGGACTTTACAGTCTTGAGAAGCAATGGGTTGTACGGTAAAGCTTACTCTGTGGACAACAACTGACCTCAAAGCTTTAATGCATAGAACTGCGTTTTCAGACTCAGCTTTGAATTAGTCACAACGATTGTCGCACAAATGACAGTTCTCTGTATCTCATATTCTCATTTCACCAAGCAACTGCTACACATTTTAAGCAGTAAAATATAACTCTTCAGTTGTTGTTTTTATTCACTATTATTACTTACGTGCTGCATGCTTAATATACTCATATGTATAAAATCACACATACACTAAGAAACACTGGAACTAACGAAAGAATGCTAAGAAAATCTGAATGTAAGATATTACCTATAAATTGGTAGCATAAGAGGCAACGCCGAAGCCAAGTGAGGCGCGATTTTCAAAAGATTTGCACGTTCAAAAAGCGCTTCCTTCACCATGCGATACTGCAAAAGAATTCAATCAAAATGGAGCAAAGAGCAGCTTCTGAGTCACACACGGCAACATGAGAAAAACTACTGCATAAAATAAACTGTGGTGCCACCGCGAGGTAAGAAACGAGAATTGAACACATATCGTTGGTTTAGGCTAACAAATAGACCTCGGTGTTCCGTAAGGTACCAGATTACAATCAAGAAATGTATCATCCGGTCAAAAATCTATCTATAAGAACCTTAAACGTTTGCTAAAGTCAAACATGATAAAAACATCATTTTTTCAACTACGCTGTTTTCAGATCCGCAATTGAAGTAAAAGGCCAATCAAAAGACAATACTCAATATCTGACTGGTGTCTTGCAATATCATGGGACGCCAATCAAAATGAAGAAATAAGTAAGATCCGTTCGACAATCGATCCACAATGTTATTCTTAGCAAAACTCATTATCTCTAATCCAATTCATCTGGTAGTGGTATAAAATTTATGAGATGTAGTTCGATGCTATCGTAAAAACCAGGTACCTCGCAGTAAGGACACGTGCTTTTATCTCTACGTTTTGTATGGTTCATGACCGGTGGACGGCGGCTAATCACTATAAGAAAAGCATGACATATTCCTCATTTTTAAACTGTTTTAACAAACCTAGCCAAGTGACCTATAACCTTCCTAACCATTCCGTCGACCAGTTATTCACCGGCACCTGTTGGCTCTTGCTTTTGGCTCAGCTACACTACTGCATGAAGAGGACATCCTGCAAGCAGCTGTCGTGACGATCGAAACGGAATTTCAAGACAGCAGGTGTTCTTTACAAAAGGACACAAAAACTGATGCACGTGATTCAGTGTCTTTAATCGAAAGCACATTCTATCAACTCGACAGTGTTCTTGCAGATTGCGAAAGCAGTTAACATTAGTTCTTTTCACTGACGAAACCGTTTTTCGTTTATTTATTAAACCTGTGAACTTCCATCTATAACACTTAAACTTTAAACCAACTTATAAAACCGTTCTTCAACCAAGTCACGAACATGATCTCCTAGGTCTTTGGTGAAAAAGAGTATTTTTGAAGCAAATGGGATTTCACCAGTGGTAAACACACTCCCAAGCGAATTGTACAGGAAACTAAAAAATTATTACTATGAATTTAGTTATGATCAATTAAATCAGCTGTTTGACAGCTTGTTGATAACATCTTATTCTTGTTCTTACTCTTCCTTATCCAGCTGATCTGTTCCAGTTGATCCCGTTGATGATCCAGTTTTCAGAGCAATTGATCATCTAGCAGCTTATCTTTTCGTTCATCGTTCGTCCATTTCCCTTTTCATTCTCTTCATTATTATTTGGATTGTTCTTGATTTTGTTCAAGTTTTTCTTGACCTCCGCCTTTCTCATGCGTACTTGGTTTTCTCCTTCTTTACTCCCATTATTGCCGTTCTTCTACTGAAGCGAAAAGCGCTATTTGTGAAATACAAATGATCGAAGGTAACAAAATCTTGGTTCGGTGGGACAAACTTGAAATGTGATCGAAAATATCAGAAATGCAATGTTATAATTAGCGAATTCAGAAGAATTCTGTTCAAATGCTGAGAATTAGATGTGATTGACTGGACATATATGGGCCAGGCTTTGAAATCTAGTGCATTTTAAAGGAAATTCATTGACTAATTACTTGATCAATTACCTCTATTTCCCTATTCAGATTTCAGGGATTTGAGGGTTAGAAACATCCAAAGACTTTCTACTGGTCTCAGTACTCCGCCGATCAAAAGAGCTCCATGACGTGGATTATAGGAAGCGACAATGTCAGATCTTCTCTAAAATGAAATCAGCATATTTTCGACCTGTCCCTCTGCTCATATCTCATCATATATCGCAGTTGTACTCATCCGACCTGATAAAAAGCGCCACACAAGTGAACTTGGTACCAGAATCAAGATTTTGTCCAGCCTTGGCACACCAGCAATCCATAGAACCAATTTCATTTCTTGAGCTAGCAGCAGAAACTGCATAGTCACTACCCGTTATATATATACACTGAAAGATAGCATCCGGCTCTCAGAAAGTTCGTGCTGAAGATGAGACACTGGATCTTCTGCATAGTTCAATTCGAGCAATTCGAGAAGATATGCAGAACTTGGGTGATCTGGTGGAGGCACTTCGTCAATGACATCAGGTAAGGCTGCCGTGCAGTTGATAACTTTGGTTATTCAGCATATTCTGGTCATTTATAGTACTTGTGCAACCGAAACTTCAGCCACGAAGGTTAAGGCAAAGGGTTAATGCATGAAAACTGATATGTAAGAACATGAAAAAGCTTGTCACTGTCGGAAACATATTTGCTAGCGATGAAAGTGAGGGTTCAGTCGAAATTTGGTTCAAATAGTCCAACATAAATTAAATTAAACAATAAAAACATAGCGGATATATCAAATAATTAAAGCTTCACTTGTCAAAAGGGAATTTGGCTGAATGTTCAAACTAACGTAATTGTACATTTAGCAGTCATACATATTCTTTTCGCATTCCGTTTGTACCTGTTCATAATCTGCCTTCAGAACAGCACTCTGAAGATACCTCACGCCACCATGTATCAGTTTAGTGCTTCGGCTGCTCGTGCCTGAACTGAAATCGTCGCATTCTACTAACGCAGTACTTAACCCTAAAAAGCACAGTTAGCAACGCAAGATAGTGATCGTACAGTTACATACCTCTGGTCTGTGAGTCGAGGGCCACACCGGCACCGGTTGCTCCTCCTCCAATCACCAAAACATCAAATTGTTTGGTGGACCGTAAATTCTGCAGCAACTCAGACCTCGAAGGAAGAGTTTGCAACTCGTGAACGGGATGCTCAGCCTCAGAATGAGCAGCGAGAAGAATCTTCTAAAAAGAAATCAATCTGTAAACATGAAAAAAAGAGCGGCTTCATACTTTTTTGAAGAAGTTTTCCTGAGTGATGTCAACTACGGTGAACGAAAGCGCCAGACCTCCTCCAGTGAACGCTGCAACGGCCAACAACCGCTTGCCGATGCGGAAAATGCGACCCATTCATAAAATAAAAGACGGACTAAGCACGTTAATTTCTAAATAACACATTCACGGTATGGCTTAGGTTATGACAACATAAGCAAACCGTGTCACAAATCTACCTACACCTACACATATTTGAAGAAGATGAAATCTAACCTGAATATGAGCCTAAGAGCTCTGACGAATACAAAGTTTTCTGCCTGATACGAAAGGAGCTCTGAACTTTCTCAGATTAAAGTAACTGTTATTAACCCACGGTTAGTAGCATATGAAAAACAAACAGAAATCAGACCAGTGGATCAGGACATAAACGAATTTGTCTAATGACACTCAATAACTCTCATCAATCGAATGCAAATTCCTAATGTATCATTCCTTAGATCGTTTTTGGCTGCTATTCCTTGTGTGAACCACAAATATTTGACCGTCCTAAACCATTAAGGAATCGACCTAGAGCGGTGAGGCAGTGTGCTGAATATTTTTGCGAGGTCATAGCTTGTACGGACAGTCAGCTGTCAGGTAAGACAAGGAAAAACGTAGCCGCGGGAGACGCTCTTTACAGGGCACCATGGCAGTAACTCTTGCCCATCAAAGTGTGACAACACCAGAATACCACGTTTGTTCCTGATATTCGCTAGTCATCAACTTACTCGTCGTTTCTCTGTTGCTTGAACTGAAGTAACATAGGGTATATTGCTTGCTCAAAGAAATTTTAGTAGTCACGTAGCTAAAGCCTTTTATCGGAAGTAAAACAAAGTTACTGGAGCTCATAGCCGATTTCTTTTTTACTGAGCCTCTGCGCTTTGCTGCAACGCTTGGATCCAGATTCTCAGTCAGAGAGACTAAATGAACATAACTCTCGACTTAGAAAGTGACTTCTCATTCCTCTGCGTCCTGTTCGATGAAAGAAACAGTAGACATTTTAAAATTCTCTCTATTCACCAATTTCAACAGGAAACATAACTCCTTCCTTAATGACAGAATACTTCACTATAATATGAAGCTATCTTATAAGGAGGTTCCTCAGACTGTATCATAGAAAACGTTTCATTGTGATAATCAAGCGAATCTCACTTGCTGACCGGAACCAGCCATTTTAAGCATTTAATCTGTACAGATTGTGTTAATTTACCTCCTGCTCTCACATGTGAAAGAAAATCATCATATCAGATTTTTGTCGTTTGTAGAAATGTCATTTTTCAGCAGTCTTTAAACCTTTAAACGGCAATTCACTGAGACCCGTTGATTTTAGACCATTGAATAAGTCCGTTCTAAGGAAAACTGAACTAATGGCAACTTCACGTATAATAGGAAACCAGAATATAGTCTAATTCAAAGTTCTTGCATATTAGACAATAATAATAATTTTTCATTGCCAAAATCTTTAAAAAGTTTACGCCGCCGCATATACATTTTTCAATAAACAATATGCCGACGACTCGATTGAGCTAGGTCCATGTTGACAGCTGATTATGCAACAACAACTGCGAAAAACAATGTCATCTATCAATGGTAAAAATAATGACCACATTTCAGTATTATCATCCGCGTCATTTTCTTTTAGCTGTTATTATCCTGCATATACAGTACTCAGTGCTTTGTAGAGGAACTACAGCACCCAAGAAGAGGCCATCAAGAAGAAATCGTGTAAACAATCGAAATATGCAAGTGATTCTTCGAGGTTGGTGAAGTCCGACCAAATCTACTCGACGATCTGATTCGATCCTTGCATAACAGTGATTGAAGATCAACATTAACAAATTTCCAGATGCACATTATATTACTGAATCGACCACGAAAGCAATGAAAGATTATATGAAAGATTTTGGACAGAATAACGTTGATGACACCCCTATAAGGCAACAAAGCGCCTGGGTATGTAATGATTTTACATCCATCTCGTTAACTGTTGCCTTAAGTATTGTCTCTGGACTTATATGGCGCGCCGGCCCACTTCAGAAGTCTCACCGTGAAACAGCTCCATCGCCTCATCAGAAACCTGAAAAAACTGCTGAGCAGCGTTTGAAACTGCATGTCGAAAGAGCTTGTGACCACCCGATGAAGAATCTGATTTAAACAACTTTGAAACTTCCCGACAAGTCCATTCTGGCCGATCCAACTCTTCCCTGACATTAGTGCCTAAAAGGCATGTCAATCGAATCATCCAAGCACACAGTCAACTTACGGTTAGCGCAAATGTAGGACTGAAGCCTACATCACATCGGTTCTCTGTTTCACCATTTCACCACGCTTAATCGATCCCAACAAAGAAGAAAAGGAGCTGTGTAAAATGCTATACAGTCTTGACTGTGTCTGGCAAAATGAACGTCGTCTTGTCCCCGAGGTGCAGTATTTTTTATTGAGTAAACAGCTGTGAATATCCCAGTATCTTCTCGTACGGTATTGCTAATTATCGCGTTCCTCAGGAGACACTTACGTAAAAATGAATGAATGAACTGTTGTTCCAAACTCCTGGTTGGGAAGCGATAACAATAAGATAATAGTGTAAGATTGTAGTCAATAGTAGTGATGATCAAATTTTCCGCCAAAATAGTATCTTATGCAAATTATAAAAGTGGGCTTGAATCATAATTAACCCCGGGCATTAACTGTTGAGTATCGGGTACGTGCTTTGTGGCCCTACTGTTAACAGCACAAAACATGATCTACTTTCACAGAGTAGTCAGTTACGATATTCAAAACTTCGTAACTTTACTAATATAATCATTCGCAAACATTTTTAAGCCGATAATGCGTTTAATTCTACAATGCACGAATCGCTTGGTCAATTCTGCTATACATTTAATATCTTTTAGCACAGCAGAGGAGAATTATTTCTCCTTCGATGGTAACTTCTTCAAACAAACGAGAGGGGCATAAGTATCCCACTTCGCCTGCTTTTCAATCCACTTTTCTGGTCAAAATATTTAAGGAACATTTTGTAAATGTGGCCCGCGACACGAACCCAAACATGCTTCGTAGTGTTCTCAAAAGCTATCTTGACGACATCTTTGATATTTGCCCCCCCCTCCCACCATCCCCATTGTAGTGACGAAAACAAAGTGCTGGAGTGTCTAAGTAGCTTCTTCCCTTAAAATATCCAGTCAAAAGACTTCATCTCCCATGATTCTACCCAGTTCTCCTTTCGGGTGACGGAGGCAAACGCATCAGACAGCGCAACCAAAGTTGCCGATCCTGAACTAGAGTATGAGCTTCAACAGAAGACAACTGAAGTCTGAAACACACTCCTTCAATATATTTGCACCGGG